AAAAAAAAAAAAAGAAAAGAAAAGAAAAACAAAGTATAGCAATAAAACTACCCAAAATTAGAGAAATGACTCATCAAAATTAGAGAAACAACACATCAGGAAGCTCTTAGGCAATTTCATGTGACCCTATATAAGTACATTTTCAATCCCTGAGGGAGAAAGGGGGAATTTTTTTTTAATTTAAAAAATAATTGCTGACATTTTTCTGAATTTGATGTAAAACATAAATGCATGTAACCAAGAGGCTGAACATATCCCAAAGCACAAGAAACTAAATTAGATCAAAGCACCCTGAGATCAGATTGCTCAATACCAGTAATAAAGAGGAAAAGGGACAGAGCAACAGAGATAAAGGTACATTCAGTATCTGATCAGAACTAACGCAAGTGGAAAGACAGTGGAGCAAAATCTACACAGTACTGTGGCCATGGACCAAACCTGATAACCGAGAATTCTATACCCAGCAAATGTATCTTCCAAAAAATCAAAGTGAAATAAAACCTTTTTTTAGACAAATCTGCAGATGTGCACTGCAGGGAATGTCAGGCAGAAGGAAACAGAAATGGAAATAAACTGTTGTAAGATTTTTATATCACACCTGAATTGATATAATATATCAGTAAATTGTTGTATATTATAAATGTATTCCACAAATTTTAGAACCACTAAAATAGCAAAACAAAGCTATAACTAATGAGTCAAAAAAGGAGATGAAATGAAACAATCATTTTCTAAAATCTCAATATAAAATAAGTCGGAAAATGTAGGAAAGGGAATAAAGGAGACAAAGAATAAATAGGAAAAATACAGAACAAATTGAAAAGTGGTGGATTTAAACCTTACCATATGGACAATCACATTAAGTGCCAGTGGTCAAAACATCACAATTAAAAGGAAAAAATGTGCCCTCTGGGCCCATGGAGATGTTCACTAAATGGGAAACTCTCCAAACCCAACAGCTTAGCTTTCATGGAGCCTCCTCATTACATAGGCATGATTGATTAAATCATTGCCTAATGGTAATTAACTTTGTCCCCAACCCCAGCCCCTCTTCTCTCTCTGAAGGTGCTTAGGGAGGCTATTAAAAGTTTCAACCCTGTAATCATGCCTTGGTCTTTTTGGCAACCAGTCCCCATCCTGAAACTAGGAGCCCCCAGTCACTAGTCATTTCATTAGCAGTCAAAAAACACTCATCACTCTAGAAATTCTAAAGGTCTTAGAAGCTTTTGTCAGAAATCTAGGGCGAAGACTAAATATTATACCAAAATACAATTCTAGGACTGGGGATGTGGCTCAAGCGGTAGCACGCTTGCCTGGCATGCATGCGGCCCAGGTTCGATCCTCAGCACCACATAAAAACAAAGATGTTGTGTCCACCGAAAACTAAAAAATAAATATTAAAAAATTCTCTCTCTCTCTCTCTCT